AAACCTATTTAAGATACACAATTAGTTTGTAAAACCATTGTTGTACCTTTGAAGGTACATTTGCATAGTTTGTACTCTGATGAATGAAAACTGTACCTGCACAGAACCTTTATCTCTAACGGCGTAGATGTTGCTGAACTGCTGGAACTGTCCAACCCCTGTAGAAGGTTAAATGGGTGCAGTTGCAGAATTTGTCGCATATTTATTTGAATGCAGCAGCTGTTCTCTATTCATGATTTCCTAATGTCTTCGCCACCTGTGGGAGAATATGTGAGAAACATTCCCTTGGTAACACTGGGACAGTGTTTGGTTACACCCAGCATTGTGTTCCTGACCTTTTAGTGCTCATTGTTATCCGTTCCTCAATGGATAGCTATTTAATCGCTATGTAAATGAACCTTATCGAGGACTGAGCGTACGCATCTCTACGGAGGAATAATCGTGTTTGTAGTAACTGATAGTTCAAGCGGATTTGCCTGTGATTCGCTAATTGGATGCAAAAAAGCGGCGTACACGTACCTGCGCAGATGTTTTATTATGCAATAGTTGTTAGTTTGGACCTCTGGCAGCGATGCCATTGGTGCAGCTGGCGTTTTACATAATGCAGAAACGTTTTCTTCACATACGGCCAGCAGGCTGAATGCTGCTTGTGACACGCAGTATGTTGTGGTCAGGAAATAGATTATCCCTTAAACAAAGATAAGAGTCTTTTTTTTTAAAGGCTTTTCACGTCTGAAAGACCTATAAGTGGTATCATAACCGATTTTCAAGTGGAATTTCATTCAGTTAATGTAAGTAATGCCACTTTAATGTCAGGCCTAGATAAGAAAGGACATATAGATTAGTCTGGATGCGGGAACACATGAGGGTGTGACTCTGAGTTTTTATTCTGTGGCCATTTAAACTGCATTAATCCCACTAGACCTGATATACTGCTCTGTAAAAGGCTCTTTAAGGACCGTGGGTTCCCAGAGAGCCGATGCTTTGGCACGTGCGAGTGTTTTCATACTTATCTGCTGATTGCTGGTGCCGTGGCTTTTATGGAACTGTCACACCAACAGTGAAGACTGTGTTTTATTGGATTTCTTCAGGTTGCCTCCCAAGAGATTTTCCTGATCACTGAGATCAGACTACTTTCATATAAGTTTTCAGGGGAACTTCATTTGATTTTTCACAAATGTCTGCATAATCCAGTGTTTGAGATGTGAACAGTCATTTAGAGCAGTTTGGTGTGAAATGGTTGATTGTAGAGACTCAGATGTCTTTACAGTTGTGGTGATAGGAACCAGGGGTCACCATGACTACAACACAAATATAGACATTTTATTTACTATCCAGAACCACCAGTGAACCTCTATCGAATGTTGATGATGGAAAAATAGTGGAAAATCTGAAAACATTTTTTTTGGGGGGGACTATTTTGTCTCACAGCACCCTGCATGTATCCCTCCACCATGAATGGCTTTTGAAAATACGTTTTAGACCAAAATCTTCTTAAAACTATCATAAAACAGTGTCTCAGTCATCAGGCAGTGATTTCACAACCATTTCATGTAGTAACATTCTGTGTGGGAACTTTTAGAGGTGGACGTCTGGTTCCTATCACCACCACTGTGAACAGTTCTGACTCTGTAAGTTTCTCTAGAACAGAGCGTTTCACACCAAACCACTCTGAATGAGTTTGTTCACATCCATTTAATTATGCAGAAACGTTGAAAATTCAGCAGAATTACTTTTTAAGGCTCATTATGCAGTGATTGCAAACTTATTATTGTGTGTAGAATCTTGTTTTGCTGGAAAAAATGACATTTTTACATGTTTTTATCACTTTTTGACAGTGAAACTGTAAAATATGACATAGACTCAAACCTGTCGATGCAGAATTACACTGCTGTGTAATTAACAGTTACATAATTAGATTTGAATATTTATGTAATGTAAATCAAACAGTTAAAAGGACAGTAATAACTCTTAAGTAGTAACTTCTAAAGTTTGAACCATAGTTCTTTTCTGCAATTAACGTTCTTCTTACGGGCTTGACAAAATTTTCCTAATAACTAATTTTGGCCAAAATCATAATTTGTGCAGATGAGGCTGCACTTTGACCCACTTCTAGTTAAACATTAATGCATTACTGACACTGACATTAATACTTATGAATTAGCTGTTGAAGTAATGAATCACTCTAAAGTATATAGATGACTCAAAATACAACTGTGTGATTTGGAACACAACCTACTGCCACACCTTCATAAATCTCTGTACATCTAAAAATTTCACTAAATCATTCTTACTTTAACTTCTACACAGTTTTAAACCATAGGAATTATGGGAAATGAGACCACACAAACACTCGTTTGTATTTATCCCAAGAATATCATTTATTTTCCCACAGATGCCTCACAAGTAGATATTACAATACAATATATGTGTATTTTTAATGTTTTACTATACAAGGTCATTAGTGTAAAATCAAATGATACAAGCTGATCTACAATAAATCCCCACTGAACACTGTTCATTATAATTTGAGAAAGCCCCACTTGAAGTATGTGAGCATAAATCCCAAAATAAGTTCTTCTAGCAACGGTTAGAAACAAATCACCCTGAAAAGCGGTTCCTTAAGGGTTCCTCAGTAAAGGCGATAGTTATATATAGAGCCATGAACACTCAAAGAATCATTTCAAGTGCGTAAATGATTCTCTCCATGGGTAAATGGTTCTTCATTCAGATGGAACCTGTTGAGAACCTTTTTAAGATGGAATAGAACCTCTTTGGACACTACATAGAACCCTTTTTGCTAAGAGTAGGGAGCACTTTGAGAAAACCCCTAAGACAGCTTAATTATCACTGCACTCTTAGAAATAAAGTTTCCTTCAATAAAAGAACATTCGTGTTTTTTTGAAGCCAAATGTTTTTGGTTTGAAACGTTCTTCATATGCACAATTTTCCTTCAAAGAACCAGTCACTGAAAGGTTCTTTAGGGTAGTAAAAGTGGTTCTTCTATAGCTGGGCTCTAGTCCTAGGGATCTACTGTCCTGCATAGGTGATCTGTTGCTCCAGGTAATAGTGGAGCGTGAGAACCAAACTCTCCAGCATGGTAGATCTCCAGGTCTGGACTTGAGCACCTCTGTTATTAAACCTTGATCCAACAAACACTTTATTTTAAGAGTGCATGACTTTTTCATTTAAGTAAAAGTTTCTTTAGTTATATCCAGGTGTCCACACATTGTAAATACTTCAGTAATAAATATTACGCTTAAACTAGCTTCTAACTAATGACTACAATACTTATACATAGCACTGAGACCCTTCTACAAATAGCTGTGAGGAAACGTTGGTGAACCCTTTGGAATTATCTGCATGAATGGCTCTTAAAATGTGAGTCAATCATGATAAGCATGCAAATAAACAAGGAGAGTCACAACATTTTACACTGACTTTTTATTGGACAAATGATTAAAAAAATCAAGTTCACTGATGGAAAATTTATGACCCTATACGTTAATGACCTCTTGAACCGCAGGTCTTTGGTGGTGTTCCAATCAATTTAAGTGTGAGTTTGATTTGTTCTGTCTTAAAAGCACTTTTTCATACCTGCTTTTCACAAAACGACTCTATTTGGGATAATAACAGACATTTCAGAAGACCTCAGAAGAAAGGTTTTGAGCAAAACACCTTTACTAATGTACTAATGTAACATGTCTGGAGAACATAAAACAGCATCAAAACCTCATTCTAGCTGCGAAGCATGGTGGAGGTAGTGTAATGTTGTGGGGCTACCTCAGGGCCATCATTGAGAGAACTGAATTTTTGTTAGTGGTTATATTAGTAGAACATTAGACCGTCAGTCTATGATATTAACCTCAAAAGAGTTTGGGCCTTGTTGTGTCTACAATAGTAGCTCAAACCGAAGAAATTACATAAGACAAAGTCGTAGTACTGGGCTCACTCACAAGGAAATGCTGTGAGGTGATCTAAACCATGCAGTGCAAACCAGAAGCAAAAATGAACATGAACTTTATATAGAGCAGGGCTGCCCAAAGCCCTTGAGGGTGTTCGGTTTGGCCTGCATGAAATTTACGCTAAAGCATGATAAATATATAAATAAAATGTAGAAATTAAAACACTATTAGCTTTACTGCACTTCTCTCCTGCAATGCGCTGCTGTCGGAACAAAACCTCGTATCTTCATTTTTGTCGTTTTTCAATTTTTGACATAATTTAAAAATGCATGTGGGTTTTTATGTTGTGTGTAAATTTCATGATGAATCGACCCAAAATGATTGGAAAAAATTCTGGTTCCATTGACTTCCATTAAAAGTAAAGCATCTTTTTTCCTTCCTGTAAAGTTTCCATTTTGGAGATAGAAGGTTTTGTTCCAACAGCAGCGAATGGCGCTTTATCACCCTAATTTATTTTTTAATTTGATTTTTAATTTATGATTTATTTCTTCCCTTTTAAAATCTACTGTTTTAATCATGTTTTAATCATCTAATTTTCATTCGCGTTCAGGTTTTTGTCATTTAAATTTGAATGCACTTTGATTGACCACAGTGTATAAAAGGTGCTATATAAATAAACTTGCCTTGCCTAACTCCACCCCCTACCACCCCCACCCCCTAATAACAGACTAAAGCGTTTTACTAACTAAAGACAGTGTAATGTTTTAGTATACATTTCTACATTTCATTCCTTCTTCATCTGTACATAGTTTCATCTTTTTTGGTCCTTAGCCCGCTAAAACATTGCATTTTAACCTCCAAGACAAAAAGTTTTGGCACCCCCGATTTAGAGCAATAGTCCACAGCATATTAAAAGTATAGAAAGTATTTGAGGTTATTGCGAATAAAAGATAATGCACTAGTTACTAAACATAAGAGCTCTCACACTCTTCCATCAATGACCTTGATTATTTAAACCATTTGTTTAACACACACACGGCAATATAAAACATATGTGTTGTTTATTAAATAAGACCAGCTTTATTTATTGTTACGATTTAGATGAAGATCAGATCACATTTTAGGAACCATTAATGCGTTAAACTCCAGATAATTTCCAAAGGGTTCACAGACGTTTCCTCGCAGTTGTACATTTCCCTTTTTCATGGTCTGGAGGCAGTGGTGTTGAAAAGGAGGCGTCAAAGGGTGATGGGCATCCACAGCGTTTTACAGTCCTCAGAAATCCAAACAACCCTCAGCTCCACACAATCTGGCAAAAGAAGATGAAAAATGTTAGTTCATGAGTTGAACTAATAAAAAACTCTAATATTTTCCTTAAAGAACTCTTTATTTTCAATAGTGTGGGTTCGGTTCTTTAGCTCAGGTAGCTTGATTACTCTGCACTCTTAACAATAAAGGTTCCTGAAAGGTTCTTTGCTTGGATGTAAGGTTATAGGGTAGGTACAGAACATTTACATTATGTGTAAAACATAAATTAAAGGTTCTATATCCGTTAAAACGTTATTTAAGGAAGAAAAAGTGGTTCTTCAGTTGCTCAAATAACTCTTTTTCACAGCTTTATTTTTAAGTGTGGTTGTATTTCATTGTATTTCATGTCAGTATTGACATTTGCTGATGTGATGTGCCAAATAACATTTACATGTGCTGTAAAATGAGTCATGTGTGGACAGTTTGGTCATTCCCTGAGTCATTCAGGGCTGTGTGAATAGAGTTTGAGGGAGAGTTTTGATTGTATAAGCCCATCCCCAGTTTTCTCTCTCACTATAATAGCATCATGAAGGCTATTCAGTAACACGGCAAGGACACGTAACCCACAGGCGCCACATAATCGATTGGATATTGTAAAATAAATAAACACACTGATATTAATCATGTAATGTTGTCATTATTGTTGAGTCTCTTTGTGGAGAATGAAGGGTTTAGAGAAGGGAACCAGCTGAAGACTCTGAATGTCTCCACATAGGAAGCTTACATGTCTAATCTGCAAATACTGACTTTTTAGAATGAATAAAGTCATCACAGAAATATTTTAGGTGAATTTCTATAGCAGAATATGTTTAAAACTCACAAATATTTTTCAAACGCACATTATACTCTGCAAAGAGGTCAGTCTTCATGTTCAGATTAGCCCAACTATAGTTAAAGTTAGAGAAAAAATATCAAATAAAAAACATTCTTTACATTTCTGACATGTTTTTGTCATTTTTACATATGAAGCACCTCGTAAACCTGACGCACACACTCACGTTTAGCAGGCTGAAGATTTTCCACAAGGGGGCACTATTACCACTCAGAGTCAGCGGCAACACATAGAGTGGAAGATTAGGATTATTCCAAGGGCCTGAATTGTAACTTTTACGGCTTACCGAAATCTGTGTAATTGAAACACTTCATTCATCAAATAATAATTAATAATAAAAAATAAATAATTAATAAAGACCAGTTTTAGATAAAGTGCATCTTCCATTGTGTCGCCCCTCCAGTGACCACCTCAGTGTAAATGTTCAGTGGTTTAGTCCAATTATGGGCTGTAAGAAATATAAGACTTTCATTTTTAAGTTGAATGAAGATTTTGCCAAATTAAAAAAGGCTAAGCTAAAGGTAAAGTTGAGGAGGATATATTGGAGCTGTAAGTAGAAAGGAAGCTCATGCTGTAGTAACTGCAGTTGTTAAATGGAACTGGAATGGACTATCACTGTTGGTCATTTTAATTTATTTTTTCTAACCAAAAGATTTTCAATCAAATATATTCAGCCATTTAACCAAATGAGTTATTTTAAATATGACACATTTTATTCTTCTGAAACTGTTCTTTTTGATCATGGTGTTTATCCATGATGGATAAATGTCTACAAACAAAAATATTTAGAATTATTTTGTTGTTTTTTATGCGATTAGGGAAATTTAAGAGGCTAAATCAATTGTGTTATATTTGCTTGCAATTAAAACAATCAGGCCGATGAAATCTTCTTGTGGTCCATGAAAGCTTTCGTGGTCAGTTGTGTGGGCCGTGTGTTTCAAAAGGTTGGGAACTTCTGAACTATTATGTTTGTGGAGATTTTAGAGGGCTGACGTCTCTGTCCTATACCCATCAAAAACAGGTCATTTTAGAGTTTTCCTTCAATTACCAAGATGCAATGCTTCTGAGAAGCATTTCAGAACTGGGGCCAGTTGTATACTGTATATTGTTGCAGTCATAGAGCCCATGCATAAAGTTTTCAGGGGGCCTAAAATTCCTACCGAAGTCGTGCTTCACATCACTGTATTTGGCATGGAAACGGAGTCTCAAGCTTGCCAATACAGTACATACATCTAATTATGTAACTAGTGAAGTGATTACTAATGTAATTGCATTTTGTCTCTGCTGTGCAAAAACCTTGAAAAGAGTTTTGTCTGTTTTATTGTGTTAAAATTTCACTGTAAATGAAGCAAAATAAAAAAATCTCATTGTATTAACTTACAGCACAAGTTACGAAGGTTTTTTTTCCTTCTGCTTCTCCGTTTTGGAGATATAAGGTTTTGCTCTGACAGCGACAATATAAATATTTCTATCCTGTGAGTTGAATGTGTGGAAAAATGACAATAACAACTTCAATGCAGTCAAATGTGGTCATTTAAACTGTTGTCAATGGGAGGAAGTTGAATATAAATGCTCAAAAAACCTGCAGCATGCATTTCATTAGGAACTGGCACAACTAGTGGCCAAACTGTGGTGCTGCAGTGACTTATAAATAGCCAAACGTCATGCAGTGAACCATGACATCCTGATCTAGCGCTGAAGTTGGCGTGAGAGCGCTCCTGCTGTTCGCGGCTCAAGTGTACCGACTCTAAACATGAACTTATATCAGTTGTCGTGTAAAAGCAAGCCTCTCCCTGCGATAGCTTTGAATCAGGCCCACTGCGGTTGACACATGAGCTGAAGAGGGAATGTATTGTGGGTGGAAAGAGACAAAATCAGCCTCTAATCCTGAGTCAATGAAAGCCAAACACTGGCTGTTTGCCTGCAAGAAAGAGAGATTGTTTAACAGGACGGAGTAAGTGTTAGACAAACAGCAGCTAAAGCCTGGCTGAATGCGCCGCTGCACTTAATGTGCCTTAACCCGGTTCTGCGAGATTCATTGATGTGCATTGTTATGATCTGAAGTGTTTGTTCAGAGTGAATGGACTTATTCTGCTCACAGACTCACTAATTGTTTCATAGCTAAGGCGCTCAGCCTTAAAGAAGTCAGTGCAGGCGGAGCAGGTCTGCCTTTTGTGTTCGGTCAGTGCTTTTGTTCATGTTTGTGAAGGGATCACTCACGGACCTCTCTGACTGCACTGCTGTGCTTCTTCATCATGTCTCTGGATTCACCACGTACAACCCTGTTCGGTTCACTTTGGGCTTCGTTGGGTCCTCCTGGTGAAGCACACAAAGCCCAGGCACAGATAACAGGTTAGTAACAGTCAGTGGAGGTGCACTGTGGAAGTTTTAAAAAGCATATATTTGAACAAGACCAAAAATCGTCTGTTTCATGATGAATGTACCAACAGAAACGGTCCAAAATGACTGAAATGAATCTCATCATATGAACATGCAGTGCAGTGCTGAGAAACTGGGCTCAACCATTTCCAAGTCTCTCCAAGCAGAAGTCACCATGAAATACCTATATCTATTTATATATATATATATATATATATATATATATATATATATATATATATATATATATATATTTATATATATATATATATATATATATATATATATATATATATATATATAATAGGAAGAAAACAGTGGTGGACAGTAACTAAGTAAATGTAATTCATTACTGTACTTAAGTAGTTTTTTGTGTATCTGTACTTTACTGAAGTTTTTCCATTTTTGGTGACTTTTTAGTTTCACTCCACTACATTTAAAGTCAAATATCTCACTTTTTACTCCACTACATTATGAGAAATCTGTCGTTCCTTTTGTTTTATGTGTGTATAAAAACATAACATGTCAAAATGAAAGAAGCGCAAAGCAAGAACACCAATCAGGGCACAGCGTGCACGTAGCTTGTTTTGACCTGGTGGTCATACCGACCCAGTGCAGCACACGGTTCAACATCAGTGCAGCAGCATAAAATTTTGGGAGAGTCTATTCAACATAAATGATGAACTAACCTAACTTTGTGTAAATAGACCACAATATAGAAATATGTACACATATGCAGTTGAGACTGACGTGTCTTTTTTCTGAATTTATACAAATACAATTTCATTTTATAGTAAACTTGTTTTTGCTACAGAGACCTATAGATGTAATATAGTAAAGGAAAACTCATTTGTGAACCTGAGTTTAAAGCAAGCTTTTATTACATTTAAACTTGTTTAAATTTAAACTAATTTTTATTTAAACTAAGTTGCAAATAATATGCCTTCAGTGTTTTGTGCTTTTGATAATTTTAATAGACATCAGCGTCACTAATTAATGACATTCTATTAAAATATTGGTGCTACAAGAGTGACACTATAATATCTTCACCTAAAATTAGTTAATGAAGTAAATTAGTTGAAGTCTTGTTAAAAAAATGATAATAGGACATTAGAACAATAATTAATCTTTTAGTACTTCTACTTTTGATACTTAAGTACATTTGAAGGCAAATACTCTTGTACTTGTACTCAAGTGGAGGTCTAAAGGGAGGAACTTCTACTTTTACTGGAGTAATATTTTACCTTGGGTATCTCGACTTTAACTCAAGTCAAATTTTGACACAAAATTAAGGACAGCTGCCTTTTTTAAATGATGTTAAAAAATGAAAAACAGATTTGGAGGATACTGGATCAGTATACTGGGTCACTTTAAGCAATTATTAGGTCTGACCTTTCCAGTAATACACCACACAAACAGTGCTTTCAGTGCTTTTTCTCCTATTGTTCTTCGCAGTTTGTTGATAATCTAAATCCAACTTTAGATTTGTGTTCCTCAGCCAGCTCTGAGAGCTGATAACCATGTTTTCTCTCACAGAAAGTATAATGCATTGAGCTTCATAATATATCTTATAATGGGGTGCTTTGTCTGGTCTTATCAAACAGTAATCATGAAATGCTCTACAGCAATCACTGTTAGTTTCATTCAAGCCTAATGGAGATTACTAGTGTGAATGTGAATGCATTTTCTTCATGGGACAGTTTTAAAGAAGCCAACCAAAAACTTAGCATGGTCTCATAAAGGGGTGCAACAATTAAATGGAACAGTCATTAACAGTGTCAAATAATATGGAAAAAAGTTAGTGATGTATTCTTAATAACAGAAGTGCTCTATAGTGCTCTATAATGTTCGTATGATCCTCACAGTCATTCTGACAGACTGTAATACACTACAGGAAGTGTAGGGGGCGATATGGCTTCTGCTGTTTCATTTAAAAAGCCTCTATAATGTTCATATGATCCACACAGTCATTCTGACAGACTGTAATACACTGCAGGAAGTGTAGAGGGCGATATGGCTTCTGCTGTTTCATTTAAAAAGCCTCTATAATGTTCATATGATCCACACAGTCACTCTGACAGACTGTAATACACTGCAGGAAGTGTAGAGGGCGATATGGCTCCTACTGTTTCATTTAAAAAGCTCTATAATGATCATATGATCCACGCAGTCACTCTGACAGACTGTAATACACTACAGGAAGTGTAGGGGGTGATATGGCTCCTACTGTTTCATTTAAAAAGCTCTATAATGTTCATATGATCCACGCAGTCACTCTGACAGACTGTAATACACTACAGGAAGTGTAGAGGGCGATGTAGCTTCTTCTATTTTTGTGTTTTAATGCTGATTCTCATTTTATGTCTACCTGTTGCTAAGCAACACTAGCGCAAAATTGTCAACTGTGCTAGCTAGCTATCGTTTCAAAGTGTACAGAAGGTTCAGTCAAAAGGGATTGAGTATTAACTAGCATAGCTGTTTATTATTCATGTTGTGCTAATTTTAACTGCCAAAATCATACAGGTCAGGGTGCTGAGAGACTGCAGCCATCCCTGAAGGCTTGCTTTCTTTTTGATCTGACTGCTCAGCACAGAAAAAACACTTGTGGTGTGGGCTACTTGACCACTTCGAGTAAAGACAGCTGCAAAATCAGCACTAAACACGTCTCTCCCATTGAAAACAATAGAAAAAAAGGCATCACAGACCGCAAAAAACATGTTTACTGTGAACCCCCACTTAGTGCTCTCCCCATTTAAACTGGCTAATTTGTCTTGTCTGTTTTCTCAAAGAAACACTCGAGAGTTCATGATGGTTGGGGTGGTCTATCAGATCTGTTTTACTTGTAGCATGAGAGGGTATTAGAGTTTAAATAGGTTTTCTTACGAAGGGTGAGAGGATGGGGCTCTTCTGTGGGGTCTGCGGGCTGTAGCTGGGTGTGGAAAGTGGTTCTTTGAATGTGGTTCTCGCATAGGGAGTGTGCTGGGGCTCTGGTGGGTCTTCAGGATCTGGCTTGTCATCTGCACAGCACCATCGGATGAGCTGGAGAGAAAGAGAGAGAGATAATTACCACAATAGGAAGACTGGCTCACATTTCGGTATCTGTGATTGGATAGCTATGAAGATTCACTCTCTAATCTACCTTAAAACAGTTGAGTCGGTTATTCATTCAACCTAATGAGAAACTGTAGAACAGACCCAGTTTATATCACAATACCTACATTTAGAGTCGGTTATTCATTCAGCCTAATGAGAAACTGCAGAACAGACTCAGTTTATATCACAATACCTACATTTAGAGTCAGTTATTCATTCAGCCTAATGAGAAACTGTAGAACAGACTCAGTTTATATCACAATACCTACATTTAGAGTCGGTTATTCATTCAGCCTAATGAGAAACTGCAGAACAGACTCAGTTTATATCACAATACCTACATTTAGAGTCAGTTATTCATTCAACTTAATGAGAAACTGTAGAACAGACTCGGTTTATATCACAATACCTACATTTAGAGTCGGTTATTCATTCAGCCTAATGAGAAACTGTAGAACAGACTCGGTTTATAGCACAATACCTACATTTAGAGTCAGTTATTCATTCAACCTAATGAGAAACTGTAGAACAGACTCGGTTTATATCACAATACCTACATTTAGAGTCGGTTATTCATTCAACCTAATGAGAAACTGTAGAACAGACTCGGTTTATATCACAATACCTACATTTAGAGTCGGTTATTCATTCAACCTAATGAGAAACTGTAGAACAGACTCGGTTTATATCACAATACCTACATTTAGAGCCGGTTATTCATTCAACCTAATGAGAAACTGTAGAACAGACTCAGTTTATATTACAATACCTACATTTAGAGTCAGTTATTCAATCAACCTAATGAGAAACTGTAGTAATGTAATATTTCACATGGTTTTTTTGTCAGTAAAAACTGACTGGTGTGGTACAGTCTCACAGGTTAAATCAGATTTCGGTCAATGATCTATGAAGCTATGAAGAGTCTCTGCAATCAACTATTTCACACCAAACCACTCTGAATGACTCTGTTTACACCTCAAACACTGAATTATGCAGAAATGTTGAAAAATCTGAACTTGCTCAAGCAAAAATCATGCTAACCGTGATGATGAGGAGGATGATGAGGAGCAAGAGGATGATGCAGGCCAGCACGAGTAAAGCAATTGCCCACCCTGGGACCCCGTCACTGCGGTTGTCCCCACCTCCACTCACTGGAGCGTTGGTGGTGGGCAGCAGAATGGGTTCAGTTCTTCTGGGTTTGGCGGTGGAGGAGGAAAGGTTTTGGTGGTTGCTGTTATTGCTGGTGATGTGGCTTCTGGTGGTGTTGGAAGAGGGGTTGGTTGTGGTGGAGTTGACTCCTCCTGTGTGTTTGGATGTGTGGTTAAGCGGAGACGAAGTGGAGCTCAAGTTCTTGCTGGTTGGAGCTGAAGAGGACGTGGTGCTGCTGGTGTGTTTTGAAGTCACTGTGGTTGTTGTGCTTGATGGTTTAGTGCTTGTTCTCGTGAGAGGTGTGGTGGTGGTGTAGCCGCTGGTTGGTAATGCAGCTGGTATGGGTGTGCTTAACTCTGTGGAGTGATTGATGTTATTATTATTATTTTTCCAAAGTGATAATGCAGGCTTTTTTAAGCTGATGTAAGTTTGAAGGTAATCCCCCCTCAAATTGCAGACTGACTATCCTGGATTGGATTAAAGGTATTAGGAAAAACAATGTCATCTTTAAAAGCAGATACTTTAAAATGACCACTACAGAAAAAGGTGCCAACTTTGATTGGTCATTACTGTAGAACTACTGATGCTAGGTGAATGACGTTTGTAGGGATTTTTCATCATTGTTAGATGTGTTGACCTACCAAAATACAAGATATACAGATGCATGTTTGCTATTTTATGACTTGCTGAAATTCTCAAAAAATATTGTAGAGGAGCAACTTTGGCCCTCTATATCTCCACACATTAAATCTTCAAAACTTTGATATTTATTACTCATAATAGAGTAAATTTGGACAAATGGACACTAGTATAGAGTTTGGATTTGACATGGATTGACTCAAGTGAATTGGCCGTCCATGCATGCTTACCCTCTGTGAATCTCGAGTTGACTCTGAGGCCGTTTATCTCATTACTGGAAGGGATATTATTTATGAAGAGATACTTGACCAAGACAGCGTTGATGTATGAGGTTTGGAACACGATGGTAGAGTTCGCGATCACAGACCCATTTCTGTTACCAAACAGAGGACCAAATCAGTTAGGAATGGTGTTTAGGTTCAGTTCACCTATGGTCAGTACTTTTAGCAGGAAATCAAGTGTTAAGTTTGTACCTGAAAGTCATGGCTGCCACCCCTTTGTAAAATGAGTGTGTGTCACAAGTGGAGCAGTTGTAGATGTCCGCCAGCTGTGAAGGCAGAACAGGTTTACATTTAGAGATTTTTCTTATGAAGAGGAGAACATCTTAGATAAGGAATGTCATGGGAAAGTTGTGATATTCCAGAGCTTTTCCTATCAGTAACCAGGCAGAGCAGCCCACCCAGCTTGGATCAAATGCAGACATCAATATGTAACTGGCAGGCAAATGTTTGCTTCATTGGATTTGGTTTTTAAGTGGTATGTGCTCAATTTTTGGCCGAAGTAAATTTTTCAGTTCACAAACCTCAGTCGGAACAGTAGGTGAAATAAAAATATAAAACAGAAAGCAGTGATTAGTTAATCCACTTTGATCTGTAGCTAAACCAAACCATTACAGAGACATTATTACATGTAGGTACTACTGTTTTACTTCGTCCGCTTTGTTTTTATAAATATACACTGATTCTGGAACTGACGCCCGCAACATGTTGTAAAAAAGTTGGGATAAGAGCAATTTAAATGGGAAAACCATTGATTTTTCAAATATTCTACTTAATTAAATAGCGGAGACGTAAAGAAAGTCATTCAGAGTGGTTTGGTGTGAAACGCTCTGTTCTAGAGAAACTTACAGAGTCAGAACTGTTCACAGTGGTGATCATAGGAACCAGACGTCCACCTCTAAAAGCTCCCTCACAGAAAGTTATTATCTGAAGTGGTTAGATATACGCTGCCTGAGGTCTGACACGTTGTCTCATGAAAGTAGTTTTGTGATAAGGTTTTGGCTTAAAATGTATTTTAATCCATTCATGGTGGAGGGATACATGCATGGTGAGGCAAAATAGTCCCCAAAGAAAACTTAATTTTTTCAGATTTTCCGCTATTTTCCATCATCAACATTCCATATATAAACTCAGAAGACTCGTGTAGGTTCACTGGTGGTTTTGTAAAGTAAATAAAATGTCTATATTTGTGTTGTAGTCATGGCGACACCTGGTTCCTATCACCACTCTGAGTGACTCTGTTTACATCTTAACCGCTGAATTATGCAGAAATTTTGAAAATGACGACGTTCCTCTTTAAGACTGTGAATGTTGTGGGATGTTCAAAAAAACATCTGAAACAGGTGAAGCAATCATGCCTGGGTATAATAGGAGCATCTAGGAGAGTCCTTAATGAGTGAAGATGGGTCAAGAATCACTACTTTGGTTTAATCGAACAGTTTAAAAACGTTTTTCAACGAACGATTGCAAGGATTTTGGCTATTTTGGGTAACGATTGCAAGGCTGAAAGCCACGGCTGAATGCCTGTGATCTTCACTCCCTCAGACACCCTGCATTAAAAACCCACATTTTTCTGTGTTGGTTAGCACCACATGGGCTCAGGAGCACTTTCACAAACTTTGTCACTAAATGCTGTTTGTCGTTGCATCCACAAATGCAAGTGAAATCTGTTCTATGCACAGTAGAAGCCACGTGTCAACAACATAGAGTTTCACTACGGTTGGGATTCCATTTTTAAATACACACAAACACAATCACAACCACTTTCAAAATATGGATAGAGACATGTAGGCTAGCAAAACAGAGGCGAAAAAAAAAAACATCAGTAACAATAACGCCATGGCATTGAGCAGCGAATGTAGGACCTACTGACATTAGAACAAACCCTGGAAAAGCTGAAGTGGTTTGTTTTGCTGTTTACAAACACTGAAAGCAAAAATGATTATACTGCAGCTAAAACTGGAGGAGGATGATTGACAAAAGGTGATATTTGTATTTTAGGATGCCTTGAATTTGATGTTGCTGTGTTACAAATCACTGGAAAGCAAAAAGATCAGAACACTTACCGCACTGCTAACCTGCGCATACATGCTCTTATAATAAGCTGATTCAGGGTCACGGAGGGAGTCGTTGTAGACGCGGTTGGTGATCTCGATGCCCAGATAAAAGGCATATTTGGGGATGGTCTCAGTCGTGGTTGTAGTGACCGCTTGTGTGGTCATCAGTGGACTAATACCTCCAGGAGGCCCTGTTAACAGTGGACAGTGATGAACACTATCTGACAGATATCAGTGACCGCTGCAGAAATGGGATGACCTTTACAGTTTTAAAATGTTTACTGTTTCTAACTGTTGTTTTGGTGTTCATTCTTGGCTTATTACGTATTCGCTGATTTTGGCTGTTTGTTTTATGATTTCAATTTCTGACATTGGAATCATCACAAATAATACGAAAACCAAGAGAACTGCTGTCATCATTTATAATTCCAGACCAGCTAAGCTGAGTTAAAGACAGTTAGGAAAGTCCTCGGATCACTACATAAATGCATAATAAATGTGAACAATGAACTTGTTTGAACCATCTATGTCAATAATGCATATAATAAATGACAAATTTTAGGTTTCTGTACTAAAATTGAGATTCTGTGATCAAGTTTAAACATACTGTGACATTTTGAGTGACATCTAATTATATATACACTGACCAGCCACCTTGATTAAGCCCACCTTCTTGTTTCTACTCTCACTGTCCATTGTATCAGGTACGAGCGACACTGACGTGGTGGTGGTGTGTTAGTGTGTGTTGTGCTGGTCTGAGTGGATCAGGCACAGCAGTGCTGCTGGAGTTTTTAAACACCTCAGTGTCACTGCTGGACTGAGAATAGTCCACCAAACAAAAATATCCAGCCAACAGCGTCCTGTGGGCAGCGTCCTGTGACCACTGATGAAGGACTGGAGGATGACCAACACAAACTGTGCAGCAGCAGATGAGCTATCGCCTCTGACTTTACATCTACAAGGTGGACTGACAAGGTAGGAGTGTCTAATAGAGTGGACAGTGAGTGGACACAGTGTTTAAAAACTCTAGCATCACTGCTGTGTCTGATCCACTCGCACCAGTGCAACACACACTAACACACCACCACCACGTCAGTGTCACTGCTGAGAATGATCCACCACTCTGTGGGGGTCCTGACCACTGAAGAACAGGGTAACAAAGTATGCAGAGAAACAGATGGACTACAGTCTGTAATTGCAGAACTACAAAGTGCTCCTGTATGGTCAGTGGAGCTGATAAAATATGGACTTAATGAAGTGACCGGTCAGTGTATTTACATATACATATAATGAAGTCATCTAGTGGTAACTAAGGAAATTTCCACATTCTTTGCAAGCTCTTTTCTCTGGAAATTGCATCATCAAAGCATATTTAACGCATCTCATTTGATTTATTCAGTCATTACTAGCTTCCTATCGCTCTTGATTCAGGAGTAAATAGCTTTTGTCGGAAGAAAACCTTGTATCTCCATTTTTGTCATTTTTCAATTTTTGGCATAATCTGAAAATGCCTGTTACTCTTTACATTACATTACAATTTCATGATGAATGGCCCAAAAGAAACAGCTCAGAATGACTTGGAAAAAAGTCTGGTTCCATTGACTTCCATTAAAAGTAAAGTAGGTTTTTTCCTTCTCCTGTAAAGTTACCATTTTGGAGTGGTTTTCTTCCGACAAGAGCGAAATGCTGCTCAGGCACTTTTTGGGGAAAGTCCCTGTATTACACATATCAACATACAAATGATTCAAAGCTCATTTAGTATTATACAACTGATAACTGCAGGCCCAAACACAGAACATGACAGAAGGACAGCTTTTCAAGAAGGCTGCATAATAAAACTCATTATCAGAGGTGAGTAGTTACATTTCGTCACTGTCCAAAGAAAAACAAGCATCTCCATTTTTTTTCTACGACATTTGAACACGGCAGTTCTCCTTTACATTGTTTGATAATTCCATGATGATTGGGCCAATAGAAATGCCCCAAAATCAATTATGTTAAAATCTCTTTACATTATCTTGCATTAAAAGTTAAGGGTGTTTTTGCCCTTTCCTGTAAAGTTACCATTTACTTTACTGTAAAGTTTACTCCTTACCACTGTGTACTGAAGTAAAGAGAAGAATAGAGTCATACGAGCTTCAGTTCCTATACAGCTTCTTAACTGCCAGCTTCTTATTTGAATTTTCTGTTCCACCTTAAATAGTGCAGCTGTTACGTTCTGCCTCTGCACCACTTAAGGTGGAATGGAAAGTTCGGAAAGGAAAATTAGAAGGAGAGGACAATTCCAGCCCTGTAGTTCCTATGCAGACAGAATCTGGACGTTCTATAAAGTTCCTCTAAGAGTTCTAAAGAGTTCTATGAGGGAACACAGTACTTAGGGAACTTTTTGAGCTGCTACTTTTGTGCTTCTGCTCAAGATGTTTTATGGTAAAGTAAAATGTTTACTTTTACTGTAGTAACAACACTTTTACAGGAGTACAGGTTTAGAATGCTCTTCCTTTCATTTATTATGATCATTATTATTATTATTATAGATTATTATTACTATTGTTATTATTATTATTAATAATAATAATAATAATAAAGTATTATAAAATAAAAGTAAAGCGAAGCAGCATGAACATCCCAATGAGATAAGGATATATTTTACCTGATATCATGAAGATCAGGATCATCCAGGAGAATCTGAGCTCCATCTGGAAGAAGCTGAATAATCTCTGATACGGAACAATATTCTCCAAACGTTCTGAGGATGAAGTCACAGCTCAGGAGCCGAGTGAAGTCCAGAGGCTGTGCAGGGAGGTTATGGGAGTTTGGGAGTGAATGGGAGAGCCCTGGTGTGGTGATGAAGAAAGTAAAGTCATTTATCATGTGAAGGACTGAAGGGGCAGAGACCTGGCCTGGCCTTTATGAAGTGACCGTGAGGTAGAGAGAGGTGTGGCTGGGAAGGGCACAGCGTGGTGAAGATTGTAGATTGTAGTATAATACTAATACTAATACTACCACTACTACTACTACTACTAATAATAATAATAATAATAATAACATTTCACAACAAAATGCGTCTTGACTTTGAAGTAAAACCAGAGAAAAACAGGACCAACTAAAGGAATAAAGTATAGACGAAGAAAATCCTTTTTACATATAGATACTAATACATATGGGGCATTTCGTTATTACATATACATACTTACATATATAAAATACTTATTGAACATATTATGATGTAGATAAATATAATACAAATGGAACATATTATTGCTACATACAGATATAAATTATATATATATATATATATATATATATATATATATATATATATATTGCTGTTGTCGGATGAAAACCTCGTATCTCCAAAATGGTAACTTTACAGGAGAAGGAAAAAACAAAGTTTAATTTTAATGTAAGTCAATGGAACCTGACTTTTTTACAAGTAATTTTGGGCCGTTTCTTTTGCTCCATTCATCATGAAATTTATACACAATGTAAAGGACATCAGGTGTTTTCAAATTCTGTAAAAAGTTCATACAACAAAATTAAACAATTATCATCCTACCTGCTCTGTGGTGTGTATAAAAATGCTGAGCAGGACCAGTTCACCTCGATTTTGGATTGAGGTTTCGCAGTTCCCACAATTCCTCAGCACTGTGTTGGCTTTCACATGCTCATTCTGAAAAGTCCTCACCACAGTGACCAGTTTAGGTGGCTCTGTCAGTACAGGTTCAGTCAAAAGCTCGGACACTGCTCTACAGAACAGGATTTTCCTTGTTTTTTTTTAATTATTTTTAGAGATTAGTGCTTTATATATGAGCAGCTGTTCCTCAGGTGACTGAGAACGAGATAATTAGCCGTCCAGACCAGCAGGAAAGTATTCAGTCTGCACCTGACGTTAAAAACCGAGTTTAGCATGAGAAACACAATCAGACACATCAGCAAATCCATCAATGTGTGAATCACTTCAAATCTAAATACACATAAAAATAAAAGAAACCCCCAAAACACAGTAAGAAGGACGAAGCTGAAGTTGGCTTCCTATTCACCAGCTTCTTGTTTGTATTTTCCCGTTCCACCTTTAATGGTGCATCTTCAAGCACCAGAAAGTGGTGCCTGAAGCTGCACCATTTAAGGTGGAATGGGAAAATTCGAACAAAAAGCTGACAAATGAGAAGCTGACTTCAGCTGTAAGAAGGTTCTAACGCTAATCTATTATGAATATCTACATAGATTAAGGAATGCTATAACTTACCTACAAAGCTTTAACCATCATTGTAAATAAATAACTACTAAAGTTAAGATCCCCTGAATAGAGTATTAAATGAAATAATCTTAATATAAAACCAGAGGAATAACAATCACATCAACAGGTTCTCTGTGCCTCATTAACCACACGGCCATATCTACACATAAACATCACACAGACATGAGTGTGGATCACTGCGTTCCCTCCGTTATATAATCCTATCCAGCTTTCTGAGTCAATATTCCTGAAATAATGTAATTTTAGACAGTATCTTTCTTAAACTGCCGCTCTGTAATGGTACTGAATCCAGTCCAGCAGTGATGTTGACCGCCCCAAAATGGCGGCGCTGTTGACGTGCCTGGCTGGACCCAAAGCGGCATCTAAGTATGTATATCTATGGGCTGGGGCTAGACCACGTAGAGATTTGTATGTTAACAGGAGGAGTAGACAGGTAACTAGTGTAAATGACACAGAATTGAGGTGGTATGAGCTGATTTTTAGAGTGAGATAGTTTTCTAGCGGCTGAGTTTTGTAAATACTGAAGAGGGCGGATAATTTTGTAAGGAACACCATTGAGAAGGGAGCTGCAGTAGTCTAAGCAGGATGATATGAAAGCATGAACCAGAGTTTCAGTATCTTTCATGGAGAGCAGGGGGCGAAGACAAGCAGTATTGCTGAGATGGAAAAAAGCTATTGTGACCAAAGCCCTAATTTAAGGTTTGAAAGAGAGCACAGGATCAAAAAGTACAACTAGGTTACAGACTACAGTTGAAGTTCTTACAGTCACACCGTCCAGGTTAAGTGTGAAGTCAGTGGAATTTGTGGTCACAGGGCCAAAACTTTTCTATCCTGAGTCTCTTCCAGGATGATAGTGGCCCCATACACAGAGTACGAGGGGTCACTGAATGGTCTGACGGGTATGAAAATGTTGTAAATCATGTGTTAAGGCCTTTACGGTCACCAGATCCCAACCCCACTGAATACCTGTAGGAGATTTTACAGAAACGTGTTATACAGCACTTTTCAGCACCACTATCAAAACACCAACTGAGGGATTATCCTTTACAAAACCTTCTATCTCCATTTTTCAGTTTTTGACATAATTTGAAAATGCCTGTTGTCCTTCACATTGTGTATAAATTTCATGATGAATGGATCAAAAGAAACGGCCCAAAATGACTTGGAAAAACTTCTGGTTCCATTGACTTACATTAAAAGTAAACTATGTATTTTCCTTCTCCTGTAAAGTTACCATTTTGGAAATATAATGTTTTGTGCCGACAGCATATATACATATGCAATACAAATGTTCCATATAAATATACATACATACATATATATATATATATATATATATATATATATATATATATATATATATATATATTATTGCATATAGATACTTATGCATGTTGTACATTTGTGTGTGTGTGCGCACATATGTATATATGTATGTGTGTGTGTGTGTGTGTGTGTGTGTGCATATGATTCATAGTTCGTGGCATCTTGGCCAGTTTATTTGATCTGCATTCTCAATGGCGCCTCTAATTATGTTGCGTCAAAACCACATTATCAACATATGCCTGTGTCAATAATCTGCTGCACCCATATTCCCACACTGACACTTTCTTTTCATTCCTCAGGATGTGTTGTCGTGGAAACGTACACTCCCCAACCACTTCATCGGGAACCCCTCCCTTGTAGCTCCACCTTGCTGGTGTACAGTTAGAGACTGCAGCTCATCTGTTAATGTACAGTTTGTGTTCTCCATCCTCCAGTCCTCCATCAGTGGTCAGTTTCTGACCCCAAAGCCGCTTTTGTCTGGATATTTTTGGATGGTGTTCCACTCTGAGCCTAGCAGTGACACACCCATGTCAGTGTATATGTAGTAGATACTGAATAATTTACAGCAAATACTGAGTAATTTACAGCAAATACTGAATAATTCACAGTAGATACTGACTAATTCATAGTAGATACTCAATAATTTATATTAAGTGCTGATAAATTCATAGTAGCTACTGAAACATTCATAGTAACTACTGAACAATTTATAATAAATATTGAATAATTTACAATAAATATTGAATAATTCATAGAAGATACTGAATAATTCATACTAGATACTGAATAATTGACACTAGATACTGAATAATTCACAGTAGATACTCAATAATTTATAGTGGATACTCAATAATTTATATTAAGTGCTGATAAATTCATAGTAGCTACTGAAACATTCATAGTAACTACTGAATAATTTATAATAAATATTGAATAATTTACAATAAATATTGAATAATTCATTGTTGATACTAAATAATGAAAACATACTACATACTAAATAATTCATTGATTAACAATCATTTAATAAGCATGCGGATTAAGCGGCTAGATGCAGTTTATTATATGTGAAGAAAATCTGAACACGTAGAACAAACTTAAAGCTTCTCAAAAGGCAAAACTCATGTTCTTCTCATTTTCACTCTTGATCTCTGACTTTTTGTGAAATAATAAGTTGTTAATCTGTGTGTTTCACGCATGACGGAGCTTTAAAGGCACGTGAGATTGATTTGCTAATTGAGGTCAGCAGAGTAAACAGTCACACATCTTGAGAGGTTCTTTCATGTTTGTGACTCATTAGCAGATCACGGCACTCAAATCATAGTTAGGCAATGAATGACCATTGAAACGGTGAAGGAACATCTGCAGAATGTTACTTAATGAACTCACCTTAAAAAGATTTCCCAACAGCTGAGAATGATGAGGCAGGTGATCGATCAGTTTATGATCTACAAGCAGAACTGAGTTTTCAAACGACTCTATTCAGATTGTCAGCGAGTAGTTGTGGTTGATGCTGCAGACAGCCTGATCAATAAAGACGATCATTTGACCGAGGCCCAACCCCATTTCTTAATTTCACCCCTACCCCTTGTTTTCGAGTGTGTCCTTGCCCCTTAGAACTGAGTTACAGGGTAGTGGTTGAAATCCTCCCTCTGAAATGGGACCCTCAAATAAAAAGAGCATCACTTCATTAACAGCTACCAGCGCTGCTCTGTAGGCGACCCTGCCAGTCTGCAGTGACAGCAGAGGAGGGTAAAGTTCAGCTCCTCACTGCTGGGCTTTAGTTACATTTAGGGAGTCATATGCCTTCAAAGAGGGGGGCAATTATTTATTATCACCCACCCCTAATTCTTCAGTGATATGAAGCTGAAGTCAGATATTCACCAGCTTCTCATTCAAATATTCCCATTCCACCTTAAATGGAGCAGCAGTTCTGATGCCTGAGGCACCAGAATGTAACAGCTGGACTATTTAAGGTGGAATGGAAAATTTAGCTAGTTCGCTACTGAGACATCAGCAAACTACTAGCAATTTTTTATGCTTGTTATGAAGAAAACAACCATAATACATTGAAACGACATTAAACTAAGATAATAAAGTGGTTATCGTAATTTTTTTTTCAGAGATAATTCTCACATCTGTGTGTTTCTTTGGACTCTTGTTCAGCCATCTTGCCGTTTTTCTTTTTTTCTCATATCACTCTGTTTGAAGTCTCTGAAAAACCTCCGTTTGGAGGGTCATGCAGCCCCAACACTTCACCCTCCCCCTCTATCTCAACAAGAATCGGGGCA